AGTACTCGAGTGAAAAAGAAAGCGGGGGTGGGGGGGAAATAGCAGAACTTGGCTTTGAGTGCTGCTGCAAATATCTTTAATTTTGAATGCTGTTCAAAAGCGAGGGGAACTTGCCCAGCACAAGGGAGCTGTGGTCTGCTGTCCTCCCCCCAGCAGAGCATCCCCAAACCACTCCTTTATCTTGTGCACAACTGGAAGGAGCTGTTGGGAGCTGCCGCTGGAGGTTCTTGGCCTGTTCTGAAGCTCCCAGCGAAGCAGGCAGGTGCTCCCAGGGATGGCAGCAGCCTGGGCTATAGATTCCCCCAAGCCTGGTGTGTCTGCATCACCCTGATGCGCAACGCTTGCAGCAAAGGAGGCTTTCCTGTTCTCCCCGTTCCTGGAACGAGAGTGAGAGTTTCCCCTCTTCTTTCAGAACGACTCGGTTGTTGCCGGCGGTGGTGCAATAGAGATGGAGCTTTCCAAATACCTCCGGGACTATTCCAGGACCATTCCAGGCAAGCAGCAGCTGCTGATAGGTGCTTATGCTAAAGCCCTCGAGATCATTCCCCGCCAGCTCTGCGACAACGCTGGCTTTGATGCCACCAACATACTGAACAAGCTGCGAGCCAAGCACGCCCAGGTAGGTGCCCGCCTTTGAACCGAGGGCTGTTAGGGGGAACCAGCAGTGCCTGTGATTTCTTTCTTTCTTTCCCTGTTTTTTTTTTTCTTTCCCTCTCGAGCCTGACGCATCCGGTGCAATTGCGCTAAGCCCATGTTAGGCTTGTGTCCTCTTTGATTAAATGCAGTGTTTTGGTTTCAGCTCGAGTGTGGGCTTGGTGCAAGTTTCTATAAAAGGAAATGATCTGTTTTCCCTTTGATCACGGCTGTCGGGTGACTTCTAGAGCTGGGAGTTTTGATTTGCTTTTTAAAAATGCATCATTTGCCAGGAGGGAGGCTTCTATATTAAACATTAAAGTAATTAGAGTACAGAAGTTGGCCGAGCTGTGTGTTTTCCAGAGGAGCTGCAGACCGAAGGTCCCGATTGCTTGCGATCGTTTTGGATCTTGTGGAGCCTGTGCGCCCACGCAGTCCTAATTTGGGCAGTTGGAGGTTGCCCCGTTGCTTCTCGTAGAAGCTGTTGTTGCTTTGTGGGGTCGCTCCCACCATGTTTCATCCTGCCGACGGTCGTGGGGTTGGGAGAGTCGCCCTGAAATGAATGGCTGCATCTTGGGCTGCAAAAACTGGGGCTGTGGGTAGGGGAGTGAGACAGCGGTGGGGCGGAAGTCAGTCCTGTAAATCTCCTTCTACAGCTTCTCTCCAAAATGGAGCACAACTCCTGTTTTAGGCTTTGCTGGCACCCTTAGCTGACAGCAAAGGCTTTTTGCTTGGGTTTCTTTTTCCCCCATCCATGTTTCCCTCAAATGTTCTTCCTTTATACAGCAAGGTCCAGTCTCTGCCTCTCCCTGAAGGACTGTGTGTCTTTGCTTCCCAGTGCACTGTCCCCAAACTCCCCACCAGCCCAGTACCGAGACCCTTCCCCTCTTATCGTAGAATCACTTTGGTTGGAAAAGCCCTTTGAGATCATCGAGTCCAACCTTTAACCTAACCCTGCCATTCCACCACTAAACCCTGTCCCTCAGCACCTCATCCATCCTTCTTTTAAACACCTCCAGGGATGGGGACTCCACCACCTCCCTGGGCAGCCCATTCCAGAGCCTGACAACCCTGTCTGTGAAGAAGTTTTTCCTGATGTCTAGCCTAAACCTGCCCTGGTGCAGCTTCAAACCATTCCCCCTTGTCCTATCATCTGTTCCCAGGGACCAGAGGCCGACCCCCACCTCCCTACAGCCTCCTCTCAGGCAGTTGTAGAGGGCGATCA